TCTTCTTTCTCCACTCGGCCGTCTTTGAAGACGGGCAATAGCAAATGATGAATTTGTTGAGAAGATCATCCCATGAGGTAATTGAACGAGGTGACCGGTTGTTGAGCCATCGAAGTGCCTTCCCCGAAAGTGAGTAAGGGAAAAGCCTTAATTGCAAGGCTTCCGCCGACACGAGGGCCGAATCACTGTCACGAGGGCCGACTTAATTTCAAAGTTGTTGGCCGCCACAGGTGAGTGTAAGATAGGCGAATGAAAGTCCGCCGGCCGTGGGGCCATCTAATACCCCATTTCCATGGGGCTTCATCCTCTGCCGCCTCATCATTGTGGTTGTGAGCTTGGGCACTCTTCCTTCTCTTTGGTTCTCTGCCATCTCAAATCCAATATCAACTTCACCTTCCACTCCTTCAACTTCTACTCTACTAATTTCGGGACACAATTGTTGTCCCCTTTCTTCACTTCTCCTCCTTTCTTCTGATGACTCCCTCTCCCGAGCTAGGAGTCGGAGAGTCCAGTTGATGTTCTCGTCAAGCGGCACTAAAGGCGCCTGATTGCTCCGAGTCAAGTACCTCCCTACAAACACTTAGAGAACAACACCACGTCTAGCACAAACAAAGCACTCAAACAATCAAAGCTGAAAAATAAAAGCTAGATTAACACCAAACAACTTTTTCAAGATAATGGACGGAAGTTCCCCGGCAACGGCGCCAAAAACTTGACTCGTCCCAAATATCACATCAAATTCCCACCTAAGGCCCAAGTATAAACCTTAGATGGGTGCAATACAGGGCAAGTATGTTTAAATATCAACCTGGGCTGGTCCATGTACCCCTACTTCCATTGTTTGAAACATTATCTAGTAGATTGGTTTTTGGTTGAAAACTATGAGGTTTAAATTAAAACAAAGCAAAGGTAAATGGTTTGAAAGCTCTAGATGAGAAGGATCACTCGGGTGTCGCTTTCCCCTAACTACTATCATAACACGTGGACTCAAATGGGACGTTATAGGCAAGGCAATCATGAACCGCTAGGAGGTGCAACTATGATCGAAGACCACACTCTCAATTGCCAAACCAAGGTATACATTATAGGCTACTAGAGTAGCCCTCTTGGTTAAGGCAATTGAGGGTTGACCTCCCTCAAAGCGATGGTTGGACGACTTAATCACGATTAACCTAGTCGATTAATTCAAGATAGAGGTTTGCCCTACACTAACCAAGGTAAGTGGCCTGAAAAGCCCAAGGAATCCCAACTCAATTTAGACTCTTTTGGAAAGGGGGGTTTCCCCTCTAACCTAGGTTAGAATGACCAATTAGATTGCTAAGCACAAACATGCGAAATCATCATGAAAAATACCTCAATCATTAAATTAAACAACGCCCATAAACAATCATTCAATTCACACTACAACTACATGGCAAATAGTTAGGGTTTCACAACACCCAAGTGAAAAAGAGTACTACTACATGCTAGAAAGGGGAAGAACACAAAAGAAAGAAGTAAAAACCATCATGGAGATGTCTCCACTCTCCTTTGATCTTCTCTTGAGGAGATTCTTCCAAATTCACCACTTGGAGCAAACCCTAGCCTTCTTTCTCCTTTGGTTCGTCCTTTCTCTCTCTAAAATCTGAAGAAGAATGTGCTTTCTCACTATTGGGCTCCCCCCTCTCTCTTACTTTTAGCTCACGTTTGGGTAAATTGCAAGTTTGGTCACTGCCATTAGTCTCCGTTAAATTTTGTTGAGGTGGCAGTCAACTCTCATAGTTGAACGATAAATAGGTGACGTGCCAATTAAAAATAAATAAATAATAAAAGTTAATCTGTTAAAAAATTTTACCTCATTATCATAATATATAAAAGATAAATAAAACATATCTGGAATACATTTACTATATTGTTGCTCTGGCCATCTCCGTTTCTAAAGCTCGGCCATGGCAGCAATAATCGGCTCCGGCCAAACCATTTTGACCGCGCTCCAAGTCCAATCGATGATCAGCCATGCTTGTACCGAACTCCGGTCATTACATTGGCAACTGAAAATCGGCGTCGTCGTCCGTCGATCGTTGTTGCTAGTGGCGATCATTCAAATCTTGAGTGACGATGGCGATCAAGTACTAACTATTCAGATCTTGAATAAATAAAAAAATAAAATTGATAATGAGGTGGAATTTTCATTTTCATTTTGATAATTATAATTTTATGTTTTATGTTTTATTTATTTTTTAATTATTATTATAATGAGTGGAATTTTTAATAGATTTTTATTTTATTTTTTTAATTGTCATGTCACCTACTTAACGGTCAATTATAAGAGTTGACTACCACCTCAACAAAAGCTAACGGAGACTAACGGCCAGTGACCAAGCTTGAACTGTGTAACTAATTTGAATGACTATAGATGAAATAAATTAATCTTAGTGACAAACGTAAATTTTTATAGTATTTCTAGTGGCCAAACTTGCAATTTAGCTGCTCACATTTTATACTAGAATCCGGCTCAGTTCACAGCCTCAGTTCACGGCCGTGAAATCTTCAACGCGTCCATGAACTTGGAGTGGTGTGTTGAAATGCACCGCTTCACTCACATGAGCTCGCGGTTTGTATTCAAAGTTCGCAGTCTTGTTGACCGTGAACTCGCCTTGCGTCAGTAACTTCAGAATTCGCCATGGAAGCTTTGCGGTTCACGGTTCATGGCTTCAGTTCACGGTCATAGGAAATAATGAACTCCAATGGGAAACCGTGAACTTGGCCTGAATCACCCTCTTTGCCCGGTCTTTGCTCCTTTTCGTCTAACTTTTGACTTTGGGGCTGGTTTCACCTGTTAGATCCTGAAACACACTAAAACATACAAAACCTAGCGTAAAACCACCTTTTTAGGAGTTCAAATTCCAGAAACGCCCAATGGAAACGGGGATAAAATGTGTGTAATTTGGACCGAATCAGTCGTATTCACTCAGGTCCCAGTACCATAGCCTACTTCCCACATTGTTGTTAACTAGGCCATCTGTTTAAAGGGGGGGGGGGGGGGGTTGTGTTGGAGGATTCAAGTGAAATAATTAGTAGAGAGAATAAACAAGGATAAAAACAGGTACTTTGGTAAACTATCCCTCACCCTGGCCTAAGTCTATTATCATGCAGTGTCTAAATAATTTGGGTTAAGTGAATGTGGTGAGTGAGTTCTTTTCTGCGGGCCTTCGTGATTATACACACGCCTCCTAGTATGCCTCCTCTAAATCCATGTCAGTCACTTAGATCTAGGCTTTCGTATCTGGGGCTTTAAGAATGTAGCTCCTTCCAATGGGTACTATCCACCATCCACACCGAGGTTTCATCCCGGGTTCCATCTAGGAAGGTATTCTTATGGCAGTGGTACAGTCGCCTCGTCCACCACAAGATCCTATTCTTTCATTTAACTATAATATGCAAGATCGCGAATACCCATCCAACCCTAAAAATCCATACACAGCGTAGAAGTTCAAGTAGACTAGTAGAGAAGACTAGGGCAACTTACCCAAGCACAATTAAAGCTAGAGAAGCATTGAAATCAACTAGACAAACACATTCATTCAAAATCCTAACATATTCATCAATTACATAATAGCCCTAAAACTAGGGTTTGGGGTTTAGAACCACTACTACCTTAAGAGACTACTCATAAAGGAGGGAAGAAGATATATAGAAGAATTTGGGGAAGACTTGATGTTGAGGAAGATGGCTGCTCTTTTCAAGCTTCTCCTCCTTCTCCTTCTTCTCCTCTTCTCCTTCCTTCAGCTTCTCTCTCTTCTCTCTCTTTAAACTAGAAATTTTATCTCAAAATAAACTCCCTTAAAATGGGGGAAGAGGTCCTTTACCTATAGACTACAGGGGGGCGGACAAGTTTGCGGTTGATCAGGGGGAGATCTCGGTCACGATCTTCTCCTCCAAGATCGTGATTTTCAGGCATCGCCATATTTGTCTTCGATTGCTAGGAGTTCGCAGGCTGACTTCAAGATTGCAATTTGTAAATTACTGCACCGAATTTCCTTGCGTTCTGGGAAGACGGTGACCATGATCATACTGGCGAAACTCTATGTTCCTTCTCAGTTGGCTTTTTCACGAAGTTTGCGCCCAATGCCTCTAGATTTGCAGCCGCAATCTTGGGTTCCCAGGCCGCGATCTTCACTCTTGTTTTGTGGCCAATTTTATCGGCCGAGATCTTCCTCTTTAGGTCGTGATCATCAGCTTCCTGCCCATTTTGGTACACTTGTGCCCCTTTTCGTACCTAATTCGCATATATCGTCTAAAGCACCCTAAAATCACATCATAATCAAATATGAGCGAAATAGGAATGCAATCGATGACATTCTCATGATTATGCATACGAATTAGCACGAAACAAACCTAAATATGAAGTAAAAATAAGACCAATTTGGGTGTTATCAAACTCCCCCACACTCAGGCGTTTGCTTGTTCACAAGCAAAACTACTAAAGCCAATGCAACTTGATAGATATATCAAACCGGGGGGGGGGGGGGGGGGGGGGGGGGGGGTGCACACTCTAGTTCTTCATTGCATAAAGAAGAGTAGACGGAGATGAGTAAACGTTACTATCATCTTAATGTGCACACACAAACTCCTTGGTGAAGACCATACTTACTACCTTAAGACGAACATTCAAGGTGTGCACGGGGGGCTTCTGAACAACAATTAAGCACATGAACTCTTAAGGGTGCTCTGTTACACCCCGCTTTTCCCAAAATTCAAAATGACTGTTATACCCTTGGGTCAAGTTCCACCGTGTTATCGATGAGGATTAAAAATGTGAACTATCAGTTCAAGCGGTGTCGTATTTTGACATAAATGAGGAAGTTACGGACGTTAACCGAGGTTCGGATTAAACGCACCCGTAATTGCGAAATGTCTAAAATAACCTGGGCAGTTAAACCCTAACCTAAACCTACCTCTCACTCAGCCTAACCTGGACCCGATGTAGATATATAAAGCCTAAAAAAAACCCTAAGATTTGGGGATTTTTCTTTCAAGCTATCTCTGAAGTCAAAGTTACAGGGAAGTTTCAAAAAGTCGACGGCGAGGGTAAGTGAGAAATCGCAAAGATCGATTAGTAGGGTATGGATTGAGATTACTTCGACAGAATTTGGCGGAGACGGGGGATTTAATTTGGTCGCCGGGGAGTGCTTGTTGGTGGTGATCCCGTCGGAAACATAATCTTCAAATGGAAGAGAATCAATCAACCTCTATGAAAGTCAAAGACGCTATCCACAAATTACTGCTTTCCTTACTCGACGGTATCCAGAATGAAGACCAGCTATTTGCAGCTGGGTCATTGATGTCTCGGGGTGACTATCAGGATGTCGTGGTTGAACGCTCTATTGCAAAGCTCTGTGGTTATCCTCTCGGCAAGAATTCTTTGCCTTCTGATCAGCCTAGAAATGGCAGGTACCGCATTTCTCTTAAGGAACACAAAGTCTATGACCAACAAGAGACGTACAGGTACTGCTCGTCCAGTTATCTTGTTAACAGTCGAGCTTTTGGTGGGAGCTTGCAGGAAGAGCAATCCATGGTTCCGAATCCAGCAAAACTCGCCGAGATTTTGAGGCTGGTTGACAAAATGAGCTTGGGTTCTGCTGAGGGTATGGGTAAGAATGGCGATTTGGGAATGTCGAACTTGATGATCCAGGAGAAAGCTGAAACCGTAACGGTAATGGCGAATTGGGGAAGCTAAAGTGCGCCTGCAATACCCAGAAGTGTATCCGCGCGGGAGGGAAGCATATCGATCTTGACGATGTCGGGAAGGACACATACCACCATACATTCTTTGAGATGCTGGGGAATTGGTCGTTTGGCGATTATTTTAAGAAAGAGGCAATTGAATGGGTGATGAGAAAGCTGGTCTAGCTCCTGATAATGAAGCGAGAGATATGTGGCACGAATTGTTGCCGCCTGGAAGAGTGCTGCCATTTGGTTGCAAGGACAATTTTTGGGAGATGGGTGATACCGGTCCATGTGGTCCTTGTACAAAAATACATTTCGATAAGATCGGTAATCGGGATGCAGCATCATTGGTGAACAACGACTATCCCACGTGCATTGAGATATGGAACCTAGTGTTTATTCAAGGCTTAACGTGAAGCTGGTCTATTTCAAACCCGGCCGATACAAGAAAGAGGAAGAACTTGGAAACTCTGAGCACAACCAGCAAAACCTATCGAACTTATAGGTGGAGACCTTCAACGATTAAGTAAGGTGAGTGTAAAGGGGGTAAATTCTACGCCTTACGGTATTTAAGTTTTTGAGATTTGACTGCTATGTGCCGTACTTGTCTTTGTATGCTTATGTTGTCATATGATTTGTGTGAGTTATGCTTTCAGTTTATGTTGTTGTGTGCTTTACTTACAAGTAAGTTTAAGTTAAAGAAACAAGTTCTTTTTAAGAAGTAACTCACCTTCAAGAAGGTGAAGTCGTTTTAAGTGTTTTTAGTCACTAGCGCCAGTCCGTTGCCTTTTGAGACATTTTGAGATAGAGCAGCAGTTATGCTCTTGAGACTTCTAAGATGAGCAGCAGATATGCTCTTGAGAATCATGGTGAAGAGCCACCACGATAAGTTTAAGATGTTAGGGGGATGAATCGTTACGACTCCCCTAACTAAGTTTAAGTTTAAGGAAAGCCTGGATGGCTTCTCATACGTATGAGTTGGGCAACCGGACTAGCTAGTGAGGGATTCCCGTGTCAGTCAAGTTTTTAAGTCAAGATTTGAGTTTTAAGAGAGGAGAGTAACTTCAACTCCCTCAAAGTTTCAGAGTTAAGATTTTAAGTTTGGAAGTACAAACAACTTCCACTAGTCAAAGTTAAGTGTTTAAGTAAAGTACTCAAGTATTAGAATTATTAAAACGTAAGGGCGTAGACTGACCCCATCTCACTCACCAGTTTGAAGAGGACTAAGAGGAGTTAGAGAGCAGCGAGTTCGAGAAAAACAATTCGAGTGAAGCTAGCTAGAGGAGGACGGTACGAGCGTCACAGTGGATGTCTAGTCAGAGTTTTTCACACAAGCAGCAACACTTGAGACTAGTTAGTTATTATGTTTTATGATTATGAGTACAGATTGGAGATTATTTTGAGATCAGTTTGAGATTTTAAAGTTTGAGTTTAATTTGCCCACGTGTTAGGGCTTTGCTCTGAGCTACAAGTGTGTGTTTTCAGTATTTTATTTATGAAAAATTTTCCCACTTGAAATTTAAGATTTGAGTATTTTATTTATCAAGGGCATTTTAGTAAAAGTAGTACCCGGCCGGGTTAGGGTGTTTCATGCTCTTTATTCTTTCTTTTGATTTAGGAGTTTTCATTTATCGTTCTCCTCTTCCAACGTGATGTGCGTTGTGCCAAACTTTTGCAAACCCTTATTCAAACCAAGCATCTCTCCCTCATGACCAAGAGAGGATGGATCATTGCCTTCCCTATCAAGGCCACATGTGGGAAAGTTTATGGGCGGATTCGTCTTAGCTCGAGCACCACTTTCCTACCTGCAGTCCACATTGGGTTGCCACAAATGTTGGGTACAAACGAGAGCTTGAGATCTCTTGACGCGCTAAAAGGTACTTTGTCTTCCTAGTGGGTTTCACAACGATATCTCTTGAGCTTGAGATATCCATCTTCTTCATTATAGCATGAATGCACGCCATGATATGTAGTCGTGCTTCCTTCTTCCTCCTTTCATTGTGAAGGATCACCGCTATCATGGCTTCAACTCGGAAATCCCTTGCATGGTTAAATGTTAGGGGAACCAGATGAGAAGTGGATGGGTGCGCCTCTCCTCCCTCATACATGCTTTCGACTTGTTCTTCCTCATTGACTAGTCCTCTTCGTCCTTTTATCACCGTAGCTTCCTGAAGACAAAACATGATACCTCCATATCCAACGTGTTAGTGGTTGGAAATGGAAGTCCACGTACTCCCCAAATGCCATCGTCATTCCAATGTAGCACTTTAATTCTACATTTCATGATGTCAAAGTATATAGGAGTGCTCTTAATATCCAACCGAAATTGCACGGCCAAGATATCGGCTTTGAAATAATTTGCAAGACAGGTGACAAAAACTCATGCATGAAGGGAATCGAGTTGATGGTCCGTTTCATAGCACTTGAAGATATATAAAATTGCCAAACCGAGGTGAAGCGATTGAGGTAGTGGCAATTAGATTGATAGGCTTTCACACAACACAATCATTCATGAATAATACCTCCACATTCACATTAAACACAACCACACACAAATCATTCAATTCATACAAGAATTCACATAATTGTAGCTAGGGTTTACAAACACCCAAGTGAAAGAAGGGACTACTCCATGCTCGGAGAAGAGAAAACACAAGAGAGAAAAAGGGAAACCATCAAAGAGATACTAGCCTTGCTCCTTGTGTTGAAGAGAACCTCCTTTAGGGGGAAAATTCCCAAATCCTTGCTTGGATATGAAACCCTAGCTTCTCCTCTTCTTTGGTTTGTCACTTTCTCACTCTAGAAATCTAAAGAAGAAGAAGTTTCTCACATTAGGTCCCTCCCTCTTCTTCCATTCAGCTAGCTCTTTATACTGAGATTGTGTCCAGTTAACGGCCTAAGTTCACGGCCGTGAACATCAAAACACGTCCATGGACACAGTGTGTTGAACCAAAATGCACCGCTTCACTTCTTGGGTTCACGATTTGTGCTTGCAGTTCACCGTGAACAGAGTTGGCGTCAGTAACCTCAGAATCCCCTTTGGACACTTCTTGGTTCACGGGTTGTGGTTCCAGTTCATAGTCCTGGAGACTGTGAACTCCAATGGTAGTTCGTGAACACAGGTTGATTCCTCCTCTTTGCCCAGTCTTTGCTCCTTTTCTTCCAACTTTCAACTCCGGGGTCGGTTTCAGCTGTTAGAATCTGAAACACACTTAAAGATAAGAAACGTAGCGTAAAACCACCCTTTTTGGAACTCAATTGCAAAAACGTCAAAGAGAAACGAGGATAAAAAGTGTACAATTAGGCTCGAATCACTCCCCCACACTTAGACATTTGCTTGTCCCCAAACAAAAGATTTCACAAAAGGTAATATCTCAACCTAACAAAATGCTTTGGGGACAAATATAAGGGCACAAAGGTAATATCTCAACCTTAATAAATTGGAACATTATCCTTGAGAAATTATCATTATAATTGTTATGTTTTTTTGTGTTGTTCATGATTTTTCTTATTAATATTATTTTATTTTCATTTTTATATGGACCTTAAAATCCTACGATTTTACGATTCCGATTTTACCTCCATTTACGATTTTACTTAAAATTCCGATTTTAACAGCTTTGCTCACCAGGGTATGATATGACATGCAAAGCAAGAATGAATCACTCACTCTCTTGACCAGTGGGGTCGGGACCTTTTTGGTGCAAAGAATGTGCACAATCATCAACACTCGGTCCTATCGTCTTTTAACCACAGCGGCGACCTCTAAATGTTAGAGTTACGGGGACGGTTGTCATCACTAGCTTGTTCGGAGGTCTTAGACATGGGTTCAAATGACTAGCAATTGTCTTGGACATTGGGGAAAAGCTTTTTGGGTGGTTTCAAACACATCATGAGGTCCTACATCTTCACCCTAGACCCGAAGGTTTGATGGTTTTGACTAAGAACCTTCCCTAAAAACAATGGCCTCTACCATCGGCCAAAAACCTTGCTTCTCCCTTCCAACTATCACCCATCATGAACTTCCTTTACGCACTCTTCCTCGGTCTAGTCTTGCTATCACATTTCAACTTGGTATTGAAAGAGTTCTAAAACAATGTGGAGTTTCTATGGCTTGAGTGTCAAGAAACTCCACTTAGAGCATCCTCTTTGATTCTTTTGTGGCACTCTCTACTTTATTTACCCCGTTTTATTACCTCTTTTTCGATTCTTTTTCTTTCTACTTTCCTTTTCTTTCTTTTTTCTCTTTTCTCTTTTCTTTTCTTTTTGAGGGGGGTACTAGAGAGTTAAACACTTGCCACATTACCTTTGACAACCAATGCTCTCTTTTAAGAACTCACTCCAACACTACTCTTTTCTCTTTCATTCCAGCAAGAACCGCACACAATCCTCCTATGTAGAACCTCAAAGGATCTCAAAAGTGAGAGCTCCGAGACACAAGGACGACTAACGTTTAGACACGAAGAAAGGATAGGGGGTCGTTCTATCAAACACCATTAAGCTTACAAGCAAAAAGCTCCTACAATAGAACGACCCCCAAAGTCACAAGGCTCAAAGGGGCAGAATATGGGATAAAACATTTCGGGACAATCAACATTTAAGCATAGACTAATCATATGCCTCCATCATACTCACTAGTGACAACTGTGATGTTACTCGCAATGGTAAGAGGAATCTAAGCACACAAGAAGAAAACGATCGGCTCAAAACTCCTAGTCACCCAATCATCCATTCCAAATTCACAAAACACTATGCATGACAATTTTAATCAACAAGTAATCGAGCCAGAACATCCATTCATTTTTGCACACATGAGAACTAAACTTTTGTACTATCCTAATGCACCTCTCTGTCAGCATCATAAGACACACTCGATCACATGCAACAATTCAAAGTCAATGCCAATAAACACGAGATTCTCCTACAAACCGACCACTTTGATCATGCAAACATTGCTTGGATCCCTCAAATTTTTCAAATTTGGGCATACATCAAGGCTCCAAGCATCAATCACACTCACACAAGCATAATAATAAACTACCCCTCTCACTTAAGTTCAACATTGCCCTCAATGGCGTAAGATAGGGGTAGAACGATGTTACTGCTTTGCTTGGTGAGTGAAAGTTGGAATTTTTCCGGGGTAGGAAATTTGAGCTTCAAGGAGAAGGCAAAAACACACACACAAACACAACACATACTCGCTCGAGCCGAGGTTATTACACAAAACAATACGATAGTAGTAGTTGTTCACACATATAAAATAAAAGAGAGAAAAATAAAACAACAGAGTTCTGAGTTCCAAGTGGGAAGTGTGGCGAAAGGAATTG